GCACTGATATTAATTACTGCAAGTCAATTTGCTTCTCTTCTCATGACTACACGTCCCAGTGCAGAACTTGATATATACATAACTGGAGAACTTGTGGTATGCATTCTTAACTTACTGGATCAAATCATCAAGTAGTGTGTATAGAACCTGCATTTTCAACTAGTCTTTGATGTGCAGTTGTGCTCCGTAAGTCTTCTTGCCGGGCTTATGATACTATTACGAAGTGCCACCAGAATTACACACAAGGCACTAGCTGTGACATGCCTTGCGGCTAAGTGGCACGTAGGTGCAACAATCGACTCATTTGACACAGCCGAAACTGAGACTCCAGTAGCATCTGTTGCTGCCAATCAAATATTTCCTGCGAGTTCTGATGGCTCATCAGACATTGATGATGTTGGCGACGAAGAAGATGAACTCGACAACTCGAAATTTGTCATGTCGTATGCCTACAGCACTCTCTCATTTCAGAAAAGACAAGCCTTAGGTAAGACAGGGAAAATTGGATGTTTCTTTTCTTCGAACTGTATAATGCATGTGATATGGAGATGAATCTGACAATATTTAATTTTCGTGCATCGATTTGCAGTTACATACTTTGAGAACAATAGAGCCGGGATTACATTATATGGCTTCATTCTCGACAGAACTACGCTTCACACCATATTTGGTATAGAGTTTTCTCTTGTTCTGTGGTTGCTTGGGAAGACAATTAGTTCTCTTAATTGACTGATTACACAACTTCAATGTTCGGGGTGATTGATTCTTGAAATCCACCATTTGAAAGTGCAATTCGGTGCCATTTATTCATTTAAGTCTGTACATCTTCTATATTTATTATTTCTTCTTTCCTGTATTCTCTTGTTTTCCAGACGAGCTATTTTTTATGGTGTTTGTATTGATTTCGCGAGTCGAGTCTGAAAGTTATAAATTATTTAGACAACGTGCGGAATTACACTATTATAAGTAATAAGTCAAATTTTAATTGTTTTTAGATGGATAGTCAAACAAGTCAATTTATTCTAAGTTTGAATACCGTAATCAATAATTAAAGCAGCAAAGAAAATAAAAATGATCACGGATAAATCCCAACTAGGTAAAAACTTTGGGCACTTTGCCAATTAGTAATCCACTATAAATGGAAACGAACTTACATTATGGTCCGGACTTGTCTATCCCGTAGAATTTCTGACGTCAATTCTTGTAGTCTTCCTTAATCCTAATAGAGGTGCGCTCCTTCAAAACAAATCCTAACTTCTGATTTATACCTTATGCCTTAGACCTATTGGATTGCGTACTCATGACATCAGATCTCGATTCCAATATCTCACATTAGTCCTCCTGAATTTGTGCTTCTGCAATAGCTCCGATTACTTGTATAAATTTATCTACGGTGGATTAGGTAATTTGGTGTTTGATAAAGATGTTTTGTGTGTTTTAATTTATGGTTTAATATGAGACAATATGACTTGAACATCAAACTATGTTTTTTGATGAATTTATGGATCAGTAATATGTGGTGATTGAATTTTGGAATCAACGAATGATTTGGTTCATCAAAAAATTATTTCTATGGAATAAATCAGACTCAAAACACTTTTGGACGTCTCATAGGGTGCATATTTATAATGGGTAGTGTTTGGGATGAAAAGTAAGTCAAAATCAACTTGAAAATCGAATATTATTGTTCCTTGGATCACTAAGTCGCTCGAGCGCTTGCTGCGACTTGAGAGCATCAAATGAGCAATCGTCAATATTTTTATTATAACTTTCTCTCCCGATATCCAATTGAGGTGATTCAAAATGCGTTGAAAAGCTAACTCTAAAGGGCTATAATTCTGTTGTAATAGCCTTGTCCAAATTTCAATATTTTCTATGTGAAAAATGCGTTGCAACTTGTGAGTGAGAATGTGGAGCATGATTTGCGCAACACTTCTACATTTCTTCGCTTCTAATTGCATTTCAATGATAATATGTGATCTTTTTGGACACCTTGGACTCTTTCAAGACCTATACTATCAATCCAACTCTTTTAACTTTAATTAGAATTCAAATATTCAATAACTCTCATTTTGCCTTTAATTACAACTCGATAAATTTCTAATTAAAAAAAAATTGTCAATTATAATTGACTTAACAGATTCAATAATGTTTATATCTTGTGATGCTTTCTTTATTCCCCGTATGATGCTACGTTTCAAGATCTAAAAAAGATTAGATACTCATAAAGTCGACTCTAAATTTACAAAAAAAAATGTGAAAGTTCTGTAATCATCAAGTTGCTAAATTGCTAATCAAGCAATTAATAATATAATAAACTCTTGCTTGCTTAGCAAAACTTTGCTTTCTACATCAAAAGCAACTTGCATAAGCCATTTTCACTTGTATACGGCGTCGTATTTATTAATTTGGTTTAATCTGTCAAAGGAAACACTTCACTTCGTTAGTGTATGAAATTTTAATTGTTTACTATCCTCGTTTAATATTTTCACTAGGGGCACCAGGCAAGATTTGACTCGTTAGGCGAGTTGATTCGTTCATCTGATGTTTGGTTGGCTCATCTGCGAGTTCACCCTTTAATGAGGTGATTCGAAGAGTAGCTCACATGAATGAATTGCTGCTCGACTTGCGTGCACGACTCATCTCCAGTGTGAACCCATCAAGCTGCCCACTTCCCGCCTAGAATTCCCACTTCATAATCATTTCGTATGCAATTGCAATTTAATGCTTATCCTCACGAGGAAAAAAAAAGGGAAAAAAGAAGAATTTTTAGTAATATTTAATTGTATTTTGAAATCAGTACTTATACAAAAAACAGAGTTAATTGTTTCATTAGCCACTGAACTTTCATACATGTCACGGTTTATCCACTCACCTTTAAAACTTATCCCACTGGCCACTCAACCTTAAACCGTCCCACTCCGTTGGCCACTGGATCAAAATCGTTAGTAACGTTGTCCACGTGGCTGATGGAAAGATGACG